AGCAAAAATAACTCAAAATGTACCTAAAACGAACAAACATATCAATAGACTATCTTTACTTTCGGAGTCCAGGTGGCTTTTCAGATTCTTTGCACCTCTATTGGACACCAAGACATATGTGCCTGCTTTGCACACTGTGCACAAGGCCTCCAATGTGTAACGACCCGGTCGGAAAGCGGGGAAACTCTTTTGTAAATCGTCAGTAAACATACATTTGCGCTTTTGCATGTTAATGGCGTACTGACAGCCACGCTATCTATATTCTGAAGAACAGGGCTGCCCACACTGACGCGGCTCAGGGATTACGTCACACGCAGCGCCGTGCGCAGTGCCCTAGTGCCTGTAAATTTAATGGTCCAATGAAGGTAATTTAAAAAATCAGGACATTTCCTCACTTTCTTAAAAAAAAAACGGGACGCCCAGGACAGGACGTGAAATATGGATATGTCCCGGGAAATACGGACGTTTGGTCACCCTATTGTTAGCTGTCAGAATTCAGCCAGAATTCAGAGATTATAGTCAGAATTCTGAGATTAAAGTCGGAATTCTAAAAAAAAAGTCATAATTCTGAGATTAAAGTCAGAATCCTGACTTTTTTTCTCATATTATACTGAGATAAAACTTAAAAATCAGTTAAATAATAAAAAAAAATAAAAAAAAATAAAAAATGGGGTGGCTAATGATTGGCAAAGGGTGGCAATGGCCCCCCATCTAGCTCCGCCCCTTCCTATATTACAGAACATGTGGTGAGGAATAAAATTCCAGATTGAGGTAGGATGTTTAAGGCAACTTTTATTCCTGTTCAGTTTGAGTGTATTGTTAAATGTCCTAAAATAACTAATGATCTAAGAGACTTCAATCGGCCCTTACGTTTCGGTATTTTGTTTTGAAAGTTAAAGCGGAAGTGCAAAGTTCAGCTTGATCTGTGTTGCGTGTTTTCAGGGAGCGTCACTGGCTGCTTTATTATCATGGCTCAGTTTAAATATCGCCTCATTCTGTTCTTTCTCTGCTGAAGTACGCTCCGTTTTGCCCGTTTTCAATTGTTAGTCAATTTATGCGGAAAATAAAACAAAAATAAATTACAAATAAATCGTTGCTCTCCATTAACAAACCTTTACTCGACTGCCTGACGATATTTGGGGATTATAATGGTCATCAAGGTTTACGTAGCTTCCTCAAGTGGCTCCGTCGCGGTGAGTATTTGCAACTTGCTGACAGTAGATTATTGATGAAATAATTTGTAAATCTGTATAATTGTCGCTAAGGGTATATGATGAGTTATGTAACTGACAGCGCGCGCCTTTTGGCGGCCAGGTAGTGAAAGTAGACGACATGATTCTAACAGGTGAGACCGTTTCTCACATGATGTTTAAAGAACTCCTACAATTTTATTTGCTCAAATTAAATTATGTAAATAACAAACAATATAGAACTAATAAAGAAGAGCAGCATTTAAAGGATAACGTCAATAGCTGCAATATATCATGCTCAGCCATAACACTTATTTGTATATGTGTTTACAGCCCTGAAGAATCAATACCTCTTTGACAATATGAATAATAATAAAAAAAAAAAAATCTTTAAAAGCATTATTTGATGGCCTGAAAAAGAGAAATTCAAGATCAGATCTTCAATCAGTCTGGAAAAGTTGAAAAAATGTTTTTAAGATGTATAGACTTCAGATAATACCTGTTGTAGCCATTATATACCCTAGTTAATGTCACTGTTTGTTAGTTTTTTCACTTAATGTGAAGCATTGTGGTGGTTGTATGACGATCTGGTGTGAGGATAGCTTTTTATTATTTATGTGACCATAAATTGTGCTTCTAAGCCAAAAATCCTGGTTGAGAATGCTAAACTTACTTGAGTTTACCTCTTAATGGCTTCACATGATTAAATCTGTTGGGGCGACCTAGTCAAGGTTCAGATTTTAAGTTGATTGAACTCTAACAGACTGAATTTTAAACAGCTCATATTCTTCCAGAGCGTAACAGATCCTGATGTTCTTGATTGCAGTTGTTAAAATTTTGGAAAAAACAGTTAATAGCCTTAAAAGAGTGTCAAATGTTGGTGAATTTAAGGTAAGGCTGAATGTAAGGAATGTAAATTAATGTGAATGTAAGGCTGCAACTAACAGTTATTTAGCAAATCGATTGATCTGTTGATTATTTTTTCAATTAATCAATTAATAATCAGATAGCAAAAGGTTCCTTAAAGAAGACATTTAATGAAATCAAACCAGGTGAAACTAAAACTTTTCCACTTAAAGAGTTCTGGATATACCATATTGACAGACAAAAAGTAATACAAATATTTTTTTTAAATCTTGGTATAATAACTTATCTTAGTGGATTGCTTTGTCAGCTAAATGCATGTTTTACTCTCTCTATACTCCATTTAAAGCTTAATCGATTAATCAATTAGTTGACAATTATTCCAATAATTGATTAATTACGATTAATATGGTTAATTGTTTCAGCCCTAGTGTTTAGTCTAAATTTTGGTTAATACTTAAAACTCAGAGTATCAATAATGTTTGTTAAATTTAATATAACTGTATGATTGTATTTTGTTTAACTTGTAATAGGAATGATTGATGCTTTTCTGTTTTTCGGCAAGAAAAAAAACTAAACATTAGATCACTTTCATTTGTGTTTTATTTATTTCACCTACAGTGCTGATAAACAGTCATCTTATTTTGCATGATACCATGAGAGGGCATCATCTATGTAATATTTTGTTTCTGATTCTGATTGAAAAACTGCATACAAACCAACGCAATATCCAAAAGTAAAGTGAAATGCGGATCTGTTGCTTTGTTGTTGCTGTTCTGAGAGCTTGATCAATTGCAAGACTGTAAAATCCCTAGGGATGTTATTTCCCTTATTTCCTCTTTCGTCTACAGCAGTACCACTATTTCCTTGTCTGATCTCCACCTGTGATCTATAAAAGCTTTTTAGAGCTTTTTTTAGAGCAGAGACCAGCAGCATCAACCACTGCAAGGAATATTTACACTTAAACTGATTCATATCAGAATCTACTCTAACTGTTGCAAAAACAAATTTTCCTGTACCATCAGCTACCTAACAGTCCACTTTGAAGTTTCCAAAATAGTAAATTTGGGATTTTGTGGAATAATAAAAAAAAAAAACAATTTGATTGACTAATTTCATTGTTATTGTTGCCTTAATTTTTATTTTTTTTACCATAATTGTGCTGCAGTGGATAAAGAAATTAGTGTTTTAGATTTAGCTCTTGTCTTGTAGCTACTTGGCAAACAACCAACACATAATTTAAGGAGTGAGCCAAGTTGATATGAGCGTTGGCAGAAAATTCATCAAACAACACTCTTGCATGAATGCTTTAAGAGTTAGGTAATAGTGCATATGAGTAATTTATTTATTTTATCATGCTCAGGCCCTAAAAATGGGCCTCTCCAATCTGAGAATGTTTAGGAAAGAGTTATTTTTAATCCTGTCAAGCATACATTCAAAGCAGAGCGTTTCTCTTTTTCTTTTCTTGCACATACAAAGCACTTTCATGTACACTCTATAACTCAACCATTTGGGTCAGCTAATGCAAGGCGGTGCTCATGTAAGTGCTATTCAGTGTGAGTGCTTCTGATTGAAGTTCTAGGAGATCAGATGAGGATGGGTCCCTCTGCCTGTTAAGAGTGAGGATTGTAAAGCAGGGAATCGTACTTAAGGTCAGCAGATCTGGAAAACCAAATAGAAAAAAAAAGGAGTTCTGTAATACAAGAAAACACCCAAGCACAAGTCACATTGGTATTAGAAAAACAACAACTACAACAAAAAAAAAAACGGGCCATAGCTTGACCCCAGAATAGCATAATCAGTTTAACATAAACAGATTAATGGGGCAGAAATGATCAGCATAGAATGGATGAGATACAAATGAGGTTAATCTCCTCTCTCTACTATAAAGATTTGTTGAGTCCAAACACAATTTCCATTTGTTGGTATGAATGAAGGTTTTAAGGTCAGGCAGAAAATTGTTTTATTTGCATAATGTGGTCTAATTCTTAGTGAGGTGTTTATAACAAAATGTATTTACAGTAGTCGGCATGTGTTGTCCAACAGTGAGTAATCATTATAGAACACAATATAAGACTGTAAATGTCAAAATTGTGTCCTAGTTTTGCTTTGAACATTTAAGAAAGCATAAACACAGCTGCAAACCTGTGAGGGAAACAACCTGCCACCCAAACAAGCTGGGGCAACAGAGAGCATTATCTGTGTTAAACAGTTTTTTATTGAGGAATCATACATGAAAATTGAAACATCAACGATACACATTTGTCCTCTTTTTTTTTTTATGTGAACAAAAAACATAAAGACAATACAAAATCAAAACCAAACGAAAGTTACATAAATAAACAGAAAGCATTATCAGAAAGAAAGCTATAGTCTTATAAGGCTGATAGTGAAAGGTGGAAGAGTCTTTGGTTGATAAGACCAGTGTTCAACTTCTAAATATACAGCCAAAATACAATAGATCAAAGTAAATGTGTACGTTTGTTTGGTCCAGGCAGTCATAACCGAAAACTAAACTGAACTTGGAGTCTTTGTCAATAAATCACTTTTTATAGATCCACTCAGTCCACTATTATGGAGGTTGAGTTACACTGCAGAGACAAAAGAGCAAAAACTCTATGTCTTTATGTCTGTAAAGTAGGCTTGGAGGAACTGATTCAACAATCTCTATGTTTGCCTAAGATCCCAATAAGGCACGATGAAGTTCCATGCTGTGGCACCACAAAACATTACAGTGTCAAGGGGTGTGAATACTTTTGCAGGGTTGTGTAATTGATTGGTTGTCTTCTTTTGCTTGTTTTCTGTTTTCCTTCGGTTTCTGTCGGTGAGTAAAACACTAAAATAATCATTATAAAGCAACATATATTTACACTAGAATTGGTCATTTTTGTGTTTGTATGTTTCACCATAAGTACCAACAGAATGATAAATGTTAATGCATGCACTCCACTATTACTATTACTAATCAGTGGTTTTCATTCAGTCTATATTTACAGCAGTCACCTCACCAGACCTTATCGTTTATATACTGAGCTTCTAACACTAGCTCTGTAAGGAACTCTTTGACCTTTGGCCGTATGGACTCCACTGGTCCGGATAAAGCTTTTTTTTTCCTACCAGACAAAGGAGGCCTTTAAGAGATAATGGATTACAGAGTTTGTGTCTATAACTAACCTCAAAGAACAATCCCTCATTGTCTTTCAGCAAAAACAAAAGCCTCAATGTGATTCCCACCACCTGTGTGATTACGTACTGCAATCCCTACACCACACATACACTCACTAGTTATTTCATCTTTTTCAATTCAGTTTATTTCTATAGCACCACAACACATCTCATCTCAAGGCACTTTACAGTTCACCAGATCATCCAGTCAAATTGATTAAAAGTTTTCTATCTAAGGAAAACCAATTGATTGCATTGAGTCGTTGACTCGAATGCAATCCCTCAACAAATGCAGTTCTCATTATTTGTTTCAAATGGATCATTTTTAAATATTTGACATTTTAGGCTGTATGGATGAATGTGCCATAAAAGTTAAGTTCTTATCTAAAGTAGATTATATACTGGTGGTAAAGAGAAAGCTCCCCCTACATCAGCTTTATGTTTTCAAACCAAAATCAAATAAAAATTAGATGATCAAAAATACCAGATTCCACATTGCCTTTAAATGAACAGAGATGAACAAAGTTAACATGGAAACGTTTTTGGTAAAAGACCAAGTACATTCAATCATTCTATAGCTTATAACCGCGTTCAGCAGTAATAATTTTCTTTTGTCTATTTTAAGTTTCTGCCAGAGCCTTTTTTAATTAGATTAAATGTGCTTTCCCACACATTGTCTTGCTGTTTTGCTGCTGTGTTTGGGCTCTTTTTTGTTTATAACCAAGTTTTGGTCAGAATTTAGCTGCTGGATTAAGCAGTCATGAAAATCAAGAGATCTTTGCTATAATGACAAGCTTCCAGTTTCCTTGAGATAGGGAGATAATGCATCTAGCAGTCTGGCCACATTACAAACCCAAATCATGAGCCCTTCACCACAATATTTGACTTTTTGTAACAATTATTTCTTGTTCAAATCTTGTGTTTGTTGTACTTATTGCCAAACATGCTGTGAATTGAGGCTTTTGTTCGTCTGTCCAAAGGACATGTTTAAGATGTCTTATGGTTCATTCAGATGCAACTTTGAAAAACAAAGCTGTTCTTTTTTAAATGGAGATTATCATTATTAGTAAGTTTTTTTTTTAAACAGCTACTTATTAAGGCTTTTTGTGATTGTGTTGCCCTTAAAGGTGCCTGTTCATATACTATGCCTAAAAAGAAAAAGAAAAAAACATTTATGTTTAAAAAAAAAAAAAAAGAAGCTAGTCACGCTAAGCATTTGTCCTGATAGTTTTTACGTTGTGCTTTTTTAGCCTTAAAATAATTTTTTGCACAATAAGCAGACTTTACTGCATTGTTGTACATTGTCGTCATCTGCTTGCAGTACTTACTCATCCATCAACCCAGCAGATTTAATTAATGCCAATGGTAATATCTATTCCATCCTACTTGTACCAAGTCCCTCTTTGCATCCAATATATTTTTTGTACTTTTCACTTTGACTTTTCACACTTCTGTTTGTGAAATACTTTGCTGTTTGGCTTTAGTGCTTTTTAACCCAATGCGCACATGTGCTGGGTACCTCCTCTCACATGTCTTGTTATGGTGAATAGATAAAACCCTGAACATTGCATACAAATGTTGCTAAAAACAAAGTTAAAATGACAGAAATCAAATATAATAAGTCAACAGGGTGCCATAATTTAATCAGGAACCCTTTGTATAGAACCAGAGTCACCTGCAGACCTACAATTTTTTTTTAAATCATAGAAAATGACTAGGTCCCTTTAATTCCTGCTATGTTTCTGAATATTTCTGAGCATTGCATAGTTTTAGTTTAGGGTGAATTTGCCCTGCAGGACCATGCTTTGCTTTCTTTACTTTTGTTTAAAATTTTAAACAATCAAAGGATTGACTTGCACACTTACAGATATTAATTGCTGTGTTTATGATCAAAATAGAAAATACTAATCATAAAATGATTTAAGTCATCCTTATGTAGGCTGATAATTGTGTAGAAATGTGAAAATTTGTCATTTGGTTACAAAAGCAAGAGCTTTAAAAACTCTACATAGGTACATTGTCAACAAAATGCAAGTAAAATGGGATAAAATTCAATTGATTAATGATTATGTATGAAAAAAGCTCAACAAAGAACTATAAATGGCTGAATCATGACTTTAAAGCAATGAGGAAAAGAAGATCAAACAGGCAGTAACAGGGTTGAAATGCCTGAGTGTTTTTTATGATGGAGGTTTTAAGTGTTGGATGTTTCCTTTCTTCTAAATTTATCTTTGAGTGTTTATTTCCCACAATCTTAACAAATGCTGTCATACATCCTGAGCTGTTCGCTCTCTCAGAGGTCAGACCTATAGGGGGCAGCTGTATCCACTCCAGATCCCAGCTGTTTCTTTCATTTATCAGCATTACTTGGTTAAGCTCCTTAGTGGGCTTTTAAAACAGTGCTTCACTGAGGCTTATGGATCTGGTTGATCATTCTGTACAATATATTTTCAAGCGGCTAAACTAGACAATTTCACCTTTTACCAGATTTCTTTTACTTGTTCTAGTAACAGTACCAATGCACATTCAGAAGAGATTTAATTATTGGTAAAATTGATTTTCAGCTTTCAATTATTAATCATTCTTATTTTCTTAGTGCAAATTGAGTCAATGTGATGTTAATGGATTTTAAGTGTAGATGTCAATATATATATATAAGTGTGTGTGAGGAGCCTAAACACACAGTTTTTTTATTATTTAATTTAGTTTATAAGAATTTATGTAATGGGTTTCTTTTAATAGATATATAATTTTATTGTATACTATGTCTAATTCATTCTTTTTAAATTAAGTCACTTTGCTTCCTTCTTATTTGCTTTTTCCCTATGTAGGTAAAGAAGCAGCAGCAGGCAGTTGTGGGTTTCCTGGAGGCGAATCGAATTAACTTCCAGGAAGTTGACATTACCATGCTAGAGGAGCAGAGGCTGTGGATGTACCGCAATATCCCCAAGGAAAAGAAACCAGAGAAAGGCAACCCGATGCCTCCACAGATCTTCAATGAGGATCAGTACTGTGGTGTATGATCAATGTTATTTATTTATTTATTTATTTATTTATTTATTTATTTATTTATTTATTTATTATAATCATCAATGTTGTAGGAATTTATGAAAACCTCCACCTTTTTGAGAACTTAGATTTAATATCTGATGGATGGGTCACTTTTGAGCCAACTAATCTATATGCTGTTTAACTTGTTGAACAGAGCACATTTAGGTATGAACTATTATTCAGTGAAGTTTGATACAAAATACACAGATACACTTAAACCAGTACAAGATATCCATCCATCCATCCATCCATTTTCTTAACACGCTTGTCCCTAGTGGGGTCACAAGGGGTGCTGGTGCCTACCTCCAGCAGTCAATGGGCGAGAGGCGGGGTACACCCTGGACAGGTCGCCAGTCCAGTACAAGATATAATAAATGTTTTTTTTTCTAATGGTAAATATTTCTATATACCAAGAGCTATTGAACATTCATGTGATTAATTCAATAAAAGTTTAAAGTGATTAAAGGTATGTTAACATTTAGAATATTTTTTTGTGTTCAGGCCTGTTACTTATGATAGTAATATTTTATTCTGTATTTAAAAATGGGATATAATTATCCCTGTGGAAAAGTGTTTACCCCTTTATATTTTTCCTTATGTTTGCTTTGTTTTTGTCACATTTAAATCTTTCAAGCACATTTTATATTAGATAAGCTTCCAATGCAATTTCATTGCATTTAATATTTTCTTTTTATTTAGTTTTTTTTATGTGCATCTACTGAGGGATTTTTGCCCTTTCTTCTTCTTTTCAACATTGAACACAAGTTTAGAACACAAGGTCGTACCTCAGCATCTAAATACATCTTAATCTAGACTCTATCCATCATTAATTGTTTTGCTGCAAAAGCCACATGTGATTGAATTTTAGGTTGTGTACTGCTGACTGGACACTCTCTGGTAGAATCTTCTGGTAGGCAGCAAAATCTTATGGCAAGGTCTTGATGCTGTTAAGCAGCCCAAAACTCTCATGATGCTAATGGTCTATTTCTAAAATGTTCTTTTGCTTTAGGGTCAAATGTAAAATGAAATGGACCATCTAAAAACAGTTACCTAGTTTTCCCAAATTGTTCAGAAGCACCAAAATGCATTTTGGCAAATTTGGGACATGTTTACTTTCTTTTAGTGAGCAGTTGTTTTGGACGCAATACTCTTTCATGGCTGCCATTTTTTACTAGTCCTTCCTCCTTATTGAGTGTGAACTCCGCCCTTCATTGAGAAAAGCAAGTTCTGTAGAGATTTAGATGGGTCTCTGTGGGGTTTTTTTTTTTTTTTTACCCCCCACTTGAATGATCAATTTACCCTTGGATAAATTTTTGTCGCCTGACTTCTTCTGGAGAAGATTCTAACGGCTGCTTGTTTTTTTCTGCCTGGTGTTAATGGTGTTAACTCAATGGGTGTTTCCTAAAGTTTTATAAAATGGCTTTGCAACCCTGTCCAGGTAATGTTGATATCCTGATAATGTCAATAATGTTTTATCTCTTTACTTTTTATGATTTTTTTTAAACTCAGCTTTTAGATGAATTACATTTCAATCAAGAATTTTTATTATCAGCAATTCAGATGCAGTCTTATAATCTGAGAATCTGGTTTTAGTTTGGAAAACCATGCTCAGTTATCCGAAAGCTTATTTTAATCTTGGTTAATTCTTGATTTTACCAAGGGAAGACGTTTGCTTTTTACATAGAGCGAGGTTGCATTAAAACTGCTCTTTGTATTTGGTCATATTTTTTAGATGTTTTAAAACGTGCATGAACAATGCATGAAGATAGGAAATCTGTAAGAAGGGGAAACACTTTTTCCACTGCATTGTATTTAAAAAAAAAAAAAAAAAAGCAAGCAGGCACAGAACAGAGTGGCTGAGAAAGCAGCCAAACATAGCAAAATACCTCAGATGTTATGTAAGGAACATTAAACCCAGGCAGCAATATACAACAATGGCGCTCAAAGAACAAGTTATTCAACTGAGTTTCTCCACTTTCAGGAGTTTACTCCCATCTTCCTTTCCAAGGAAAATGGGAGAAATGTCTTCTGAGAGGCTTAGAAGATCTATCAAATCAGACCCTTACCCAGAAATTTAAACCTCCCCATGACAAGCCCAGTATGGCTGTAATTCACAACAGGGTAAGCAGTATGAAAGACACATTCAAAAAGAACAGGTTTTAATCATAGTCAAACATATTTATATGCTATTTTATGATACTTTATTCTTAATTATGTTTCATAAAAGTAAATATTTTGATAAAACAGAGAATTTTCTGTAATACTTAATGCTCACACACATCTCTCCAGTAATCCCACCTTTTCCATGGGTCTTTATATCCAATTCTCCTGATATGGTTACCTTCATCTAGTCATTAACTCTGAAGAATTGTTCTAGATACTCTGAAGACATCTTAGTAACTTTTAAAGGTATTTCAAGTAGACTAAAGTGTCTGGAAGCAGAAACTTCTCTAAAAAGTTTAGGGCTCCAGACCGCAAGGACTAGACATAAGATCCCTTCCCTGGTAGCTTTCCATCAAAGCCATGGCTTGAACTGTTCTTTATTTTTTTCAATCAACCTTGTTTATTTAATTTCATAATTTATCAAATATTTTATTGTTTAATGTTTTAAGTTAAATGTTGTTTAACTCAGAGTTCTTTTTAAAAAAGTTAAGATGTAAATATTTGCTTCTTTCATAGTTTGAAGGGAAGGCATTTTCTCAGAACAAGGAATTTTGGTGTCTTCATATTCTACCTGGGGCAAAGGGTTTCAAAAACTTGATTTTTTTTTTTCATTATTATTATGTAGAGGAGAAATTAATCTTATTTACAATTTAGTTTTATAAATTTTCTGTGTACAGCAATGTACACATAGTAGCATGGCAGTGAAAATCTGTTTTCACTCGGTTATCAAAGATCGTCGTAAGGCCCAGATCAGACATAAGGGTTTTCAAATTGCAGGCTTAGAAAAAAATCAATGGAAAATGATTAAGTTTCCTCTTAAAAGTCTGTGTTCCAAAATATAATGCCCATACTGTAAAGTTACCTGTGTTTGGTCATTGAGTTGGATAAGTTAGCTCGTGCCACTTTATGTCCTCATCTCAGATTGCAAGCAACTCTATAATCCCCTTGTAATCCTGCCTTGTGGATGGGGAGGATTATCTGCTCTGCCTGCCATCATTCTCACTGGCTAAGGTATTATGATGTTACTGCCCTGGGTACATATCAGGAAAAACATAAGGGTCTCCGTGCTAAGACAGAGACATTTTTCAGCCTCTTAGAACAAGGAATATGTCACAAAATACTCACATTTTGTCCTTCACCCTTCTCAGGACTACGAAGATTTCTTCCAGTCAAAGGAGAACAACACTGTGTTTGCATTCCTTGGTCTCAATTCTCCAGCCAGTGTGACAGTAAGTTTACGTTCATGCACAACCAAAAAATACATTGCACTCTTTTGTGTACTGTAAATCAGTCAGTGTATCAAACTACTTCTTCAAATAGTAAACACACTCTTTCCCAACATCCTTCTTAATCTTTATTTCAAACTGTAAAAAAAAAAAAGATATAAATACATTTAGTATAAATTGATATACAAACACACTTTATAGTTTGTAAAAGAGGTTTGGAAGAAGTTAAGAAAAACGTGTTTAATCTGCAGCTCTTATCTCCATAGAAAACTCTCTGACAGTTATAGTGATAGATATCCTGCTGATATTTCATAGGCATCAGCTTTTCCTTTAACATGGTCGGGGTGAAAAAGGAAAATGTTTTACGATAATCCACACATCATCAACATTCAGTCCTGTTCTCTTCTTTCCTCCAACTTTTTTTTTTTTTTCCTAGACTCATATTCAGGATTTATAAAATTATTAATGAAGTTCCGCATCACTCAAATGAAGGTAACTTTATTACTAAACAATTAATAAGTTACATGATTAACTAATCTGCTTATCCACTCATCACATTTTACATCCACGATTACGCAAATGCTTTTTTTTATTTTAATAGCTTCATGGTTTCAGTTATATTCTTTTCCTAACCTGGTTGGTCAGTACGAGGGGCGTTCAATAAGTAATATCCCTGACCTACTTCTTGTTGTGTGATCTAGCTGAAATTTTACATGTGCAATTATTTATTATATCTCTACATATTAAGTAACAAATTACAGCTCTAAACAAATTGTGGTTTCTGATTTACAGGTGTCTGAAATGAGTGAAGTCTGAATGGAGCCTGTTGAGTGTCAAGTAGTGATCCAGTTTTTGTAGATTCACACCACGGGAGACTTTTGATTTCATGCCATCATCACCATAAGTTACTTTAATTTAATCAAAAGTCTCCAATTGTGTGCATCCTTTCATATACAAAAGACTGATCACTCCTTGACATCCATTTCAGACGTCACTCAGTACAGACACTCGTAAATTGGAAACTACAATTAGTTTAGAGCTGTAATTTGTTAACTAATCTATAGAGGTATAAATAATTGTACATGCAAAATTTCAGATGGATCAAACAACCAGAAGTGGGTCAGTGGCATTACTTATTGAAGGCCCCTCATATGTTCTGTATGTATGAAAATAATGTTGATATCCCTAATTTTGTAATTTTATATTTCTATATATTTTTTCCAGGATTCAGAGTCATAGATCAAGCTGCTCTCACGTCACCAGGATATATCCATATTTGCATAACTTCCTGCATTGCATCACCTCCTGTCTTGTGACAACTCCAGTTTTGCCAAAACCTGCCGTAGTGGAGGCTGCCTCTCTGAAACCATCACCGGACCTCCGAGGAGAGTTCAACCTATCCGCTACAGCAATAAATCACACTGGACTATCTTTGTTTGGATTACATTTGTGTGTCGAAGCATTGCTTTTCATGCTGTGCCAGCAAACAGTACTTGTAGCACATATTGATGCAAACTTGGGAACTATGTAGCAGTTTTCGCCTCAGCCTTTTATATAATCTTAGTGAGACCAACAGGGTAAATGATCAGGTGCGATAGTGCTGCTGAATATCTGTTTACACCCTTCTCCAAATGAGTGAGCATATGTTCTGCTGTTAGCATCAGTCAGCAGCTGCTAATGAAGGGAAAACTAAATGAAGCATAAGACGAGCTGGGAGTTTATCAGGGTGCCTTACCTTGCCTGTGTTTGGACCAAATGCTAAGAATAGCACAAATTTGAGTAATCTAATCAAATTATGTTGTTTTGATATTTCTTTGCTTAGTTTATGTGCAGTCTGTTCAGCTGTAGGATTTAAAGTTGGAAGATGTTTGGTAACCTTTGACCTTCCTTGGCTGTCTCTGTTGCTTTGCCTTGGTCTGTTTGGTTTTATTGAGGTTGCATTTTGTTACAAAGACAAACAAAGGTTGTATGGATCATTTTATTTCTCTATTCTATGTTTTTTTTTTTAGATGTTCTCTCCATACTGCCAAATTAGACAAAGACTTCACTGTGGACAGCCCGTCATCTTTGTGCTATACATGTCATTAAATATAAGTCCAAGCTGTCTCATCTCTCAGCGTTTCATTCATCACTATTCTCAGGAACAGTATTCCAAATGTGGATTATAAATTGTTAATGTTTGAAATAGTAGCACTGTTAAAACGAGATAAACATTTTCATCATGCGAGAAAAAAAGTTATTTTCACATATCAGACAGCATCACCGGAAGAATTCACTAAAAAGATATTTTCAGTTTATCTGATTTGTTTTCTTTGTTGTTACAGCATGGGTCGACTTTGTAAATGTCTGTTTTCTGGGATCGATTGATCTGTTGGGTTGCTTCCTGTTTCTCTGTTATTTAATTTTGGCTTTCCTTTGCTTGTACAAAGTTATGAATTGACGCTAATGCACCACTATAAAGTTTTTTTTTGCATGAAAGATGGTTACTCTGTTTCTAGATGCATTGCAGCACTCCTCTTTTTAGGTTTTCCTAAAAGTTTTTATCTTACTATTCTGAAATGTTTAATCAATATGGGATTTAAAGGACAAGTCTTGATCAAAAAAATACCACTTTTTTTTTTTTTTTTACTTTAGTATCTGAGATCAAATTAACCCCATCCAAATTAAGTGACTGACTAATCATCTTCTTTTTTCAAAGACTCTGATCAAAAGACAATAACTTCTGTTTTGTTTGCATTCAAGACCAGAAAGTTAAGAGTTGTCCAGGTTTTTATGTCTTTAAGATATGGAGCCTAGGTGGAAGTTTAATGGAAGAAATTGATTGCTCTCCTACATCCACCTGCGACACAGCCAATCAGCTTTGTACCACACCTCCACGAAAGCCAATCGGCATCCAAAGTTCATCTTAAAAGGCCTCCGATACGCACCTGTCTGCTCCTGTGCGCAGGCTGTGGATGCGCTGTGACTTCATTCAGATGACTGGGTTTCAATCCACCTCCAGCCCCTCCTCCACCATCGTAGCTAAAGCTTCATCAGAGTCATTCCTCTCGGACTCTTACTGCCTTCCCTGTTTCATCTCAACCGCTCCGGCAAAAGACCACTATGTTGAGCCTGGTTTTGCCAGAGGTTTCTTCCCAACGTGGGGGTTTTCCTCTCCACTATTGCTTTATGCTTGCTCATCATGGACATGTTCTCTCAACCTGTGTTATCCAAACTGGACTTCCATCTTCCAGGTCAATGAGTTAAGCTCTAGTATCAGCTCACGCAATCCACTGCATCTCCCCATAAAGCTCAGCATACCCTCTCGCTAACCAGCAGTCTACAGACTGACCTACTTCATCTATCTCCACTGCACCACCAGTTTCAGGTCTGGGGGAAAACAGCCCTATTCTTTGCCCCTTTTCCTGCATATCTATCAAAATTAAGCACTATGTTTCCTGCCGAGGTCTGAGCGCCAAAGACAAAGTAATTGTATCAATAAATTTCTCCTAATTGTCTTTTCTCTTCGTGTGAGATTTTCAGATTGAAATGCCTGTTATCTATGTAGTGTGTTAGCTTCATCTGGACTTGCAGATGGATATAGCTGAGTATCATCAGCATAGCAGTGGAAAACCCATGCTGTCTACTAATTCTACTGATTGGTAGCATATATATAGTAAAGAGAACTAGGTTGACTGGTGTCTAAATCGTCTTTAAGTGTGTATGCATGGTTGTATGACTACCCTCTACACCCTGATAGACAAGGCAGAAAATTGATGCATTTAACATTTATATTTAGAAGTTTTTACACTTGAGGTGAAGAAAATGCTCTAAATAACAGAAATGATACATTAAAAGTTGTTTAGCTATATATTTACATTTAGCTATAACTCTTATTGTAAGGTGGAAAGGGCAGTGCTTCCTTACATCTGCACTTGTTTGCATTAACCTAACCATGTTAGCTTTGCCGACATGTCTGGCATTTTNCGGGTTGCAAATTGTCGGAAACTGACGAAAATCAGGGAGATCTGCGGGAGTTTACGGGAGTTTACGGGGACGAAAATCTCACTTTTCATGCAGTGGTAGGCTCAGTAAGCTGTTATCACCGAATGCGAGTCCTAATTCTAAGCCTAAAGTAATTCCTTTCATCTGAAAATAATTTCAGTATTCTTCATGTACTGTAAAAATTAATAAAAAAATAATGATCAGCATGTTGCTCCTATGAAACACACATAAAAATGAATAACTTTCATATCCTGTCAGATGAGTTGTAGAGTCCTTTCCCTATAAATATTTAATTCTCTATGAATTAGTGCTGATCATTTTTTAATAAGATCTTCGTCAAAAGAACATGCAATGTTTGTTTTTTAAAACCTAGGGCAATGTGTCTAATGGATCTACTGAATGTTTTTCTCTTTCTTTATGCACCAAACTACAAAAAAATATGACTAAATAAGGAAATAAAACTACGTGATTGACTTTAAGGTGAGCGGAGACAGAGGACACTCTGATGGTATGTTCAAATTCATGGGATGCGTCCTTAGAAGGCCAGATTCGAAGGACGATTACGTCATAGTGCGGCGCCGAGGTCTGGTCGGATTCCAAGAGTCCTCGTTATGCTGCCTTAAAATGTGTCCTTTTTGCCCAAGTTGAAGGACGGGTCGATGTATCCTCACTATCCTTGGATATCCCAGGATTCATTGTGAATCGAACCAAGCCCTATAAAGACAACATATTCTCATTATCAGTTCGTATGAAATCGTACGAAAAGTTATGCACAGTATTTCGTACGTTTTGGACGTTTTTCCTAGAAAATACAGATCAGTGCGCATGCGCAGCCAGACAGACGAAAAAAGCAGATCCGCGGACGGACGTAGAACTGGGAAAAACAGTGCAATAATCACTTCTTCATGTCTCTAACTACGTTGCTTGCTGTTTTGTATCTTAGGGTTAGGTGCAGGAATAGGGTCAGGGTTAGGGCTAATTGTATGTTAAATTCTGTGTTACTTAATGGTGCGTAAGATGCGCATGCCCAAGGATATCTTGTCTCGAGGCAAGACGTAAAAATACGACGTCTAAAACGTATGAAATTACGGTGCATAACTTTTCGTACAATTTCATACGAACTAATAATGAGAATACACTGATAAAGATGCCCCACGCTCGGAGGAAAAACAAAAAATGGTGACGAATAGTGGCGAAAGTTGTAAGTACACCATAATATCCTACAAGTATTTAAAGCAAATATTGTGAATATTTTAGTCTGAAATGACTGAACCTATTTTTTTATTTCAATGATAATTGACTCACCTATGTCACCGGTAATGTTTGTTTCATTGAATGTTTAATTTGCCTTGTACAAATGTGTTTGGTTGACAATCAAGCATAATTTCGAATATCTGTGCAGTGTGGCACAACTACGGAATTATGTTTAATAAAAAATTAACTCTCATTCCGTTCTCTAAAGAAGTAGGCTACTCTAGAAGTTTTGATACTTTGTAATCCTAACTGTTTTGTTTCATGTTGGAACAGCTTCTTCAACGCAAGTTGATAAATGTTATGAAATGTAACTGCATTTAACCTGTGAAATTCTGTCAGCACTTGTTGCAAGGCATGACCAGAATGCAGTTAAATTTCTTTGAACGTCAATATGATTTAAATAATTTGATTGGAATGGGCATTAGGGGAAATTAAATGTTCTCTCCCTAAGAACGCCAGTTTATTCAAATATAAGCAATCAAATGGCATCCACCAGCCACATCCATCTTTTTTTTTTTTTTTTCAAACATAGCAGGTAGAAAGATTTTGGTGAACTCCAATAGCTATACCTATAAATATTCACATATGTTTACGCATCCCATTATCCTGGATTCAAAACATATCTATCCACACTCCTAATTTCCATTTCCAGTCCATATATCCCCTCCATAAAATGGAATAGAACATATTAGATAATTCCTGACTTGACATGTCAACATTTGAATCCTAATGAAGCCTTGATATGTTTTTGTTATTGTAAAAATGAACTTCTAATCATATTTCTGTATGCCAAGACAAGAACCTGAATGCTAGCACCAATACATGGTTCACATCATCCTGAAGATTAATTTCTTATAGGGAGCAAGGAGCAGACTAGAGACTGACACGGGAGTGGATTTTCACTCCTGTCCCGTCCCACTCCCACAGAAAAAAAAATGTGTCCCGTCCCGATCCTGGGCCAGAGTAGAAATCTAAATCCTGTCCCGTCCCACTCCTGGTGAAATTACTCCCACTCCCATCCCGCTCCCATTTAGAATGACTCCCGCTCCCTCACCACTCCCATTCTTGTAGTTTTTGAGCGCGGGTGAAACAGATAGAGCTTTTCATAAAGCTAAGGGGGTAAAATGAGGGTCTCTTTACTGGGACCAAGAACTCTGCTCACACAGTTTGGAGGTACAGTAACAGCCTAAGCAGCATCTGCCCCATTGCTTTCTCATCTATAACCACAACAGAACCCATGTTTTAATATTCCCTCTTCCTTGGTCATGACAACAGGAAACATGATATAACATCCATGCTGGTTTTATTGAATACTGAATACTAGCTTTTATCATTTGTGAACCAGTAATTGTTCTTATGTTCTAGAATCATTCTGGAGAAGATGGGACAACCTGAAAACAAAATATAAAGTAAGTCAGCTTTGCTTTGACAAACAAAAAATAAAAATAAACATGTCAAATATTGCTGTTGACCTTTGATTTTTAAACTGGGATTTGTTTTCTTTCTTCTGTCTATAGGACTGCAAGTTCCCAGGGTCAGGGGAGGGAACGAGTGGGAAACCCACTGCTGCTACTCGGCCTTGGTTTGTCCAAATGGATGAAGTGTTGGGACAGAGGGCTTCCATCGAACCCCATGTCCTGATTTCTTCAATCCCAGAGGACACTCCAGGGCCAAGCGCAGCAGTGGCCAACCAGGAGGAGGACGACGAACAGACAGAGTCAGCAGCCAGAACGGGCCCGAAACAGCACAGAGATCATAAAGCAGAGCTGCTGGACCTCATCAAGGAGGACATGAAACTTCAAAGGGAGGTGGAGGAGAGGAGGGCACAGGAAAGCAGAGAGAGGATGGACAAACTTTTCTATTTTGGAGAAAATTGCTAATAAATGACTCTTCACAATTCTGTCTCAAATATCTTGTTTTTGGGAAGATGAGTTATGGATGGTGAGCCTTCATCTTTCATTACTCAAATGTTCAAACAGGTCTGGTGTCCTCCTCATCAAAGAAGCGGTTGAGGACAGGGACACAGGTTGATCCAGCAGTACTGTGGTCTAGTCTAAGGAATAGATGAGAAAATAACAGAAGAAAGTAGTCCAACAATGTGTTTTACATTATTTTGAATGTGTGATAACAATGAAATGTACTTTTAAAACTCTTCACTATTATGTTTTTCAAATGCACTTTTCTAAGGTCCACGTTTGTGTAACCACTTTTTCCATATTCTCCTTGCTACTGTAAACACCAGAATTTCCTCATTGTGGGACAATAATATATATATTGTGATATATTATATATGCATTCATCTGCTCAATGCCTGCAGATGATAGACGCAGCCTATCACGCATCATTGAGATTTATTACTAATTGTAAAGCTCGCACCCATCACTGTGAGCTGTATTCTCGTGTAGGGTGGTCTGCCTTGGCTACACGGAGGCTTTGTCATTGGTATATATTTATAT